ACCTTCTTTCTGAGTGAACCCCCTAGAAACCAGCCTTGCCTTAAAGTGCTTTGACATCACTCCTTCGATTCCTTCATTGACCTTGAAAATCCACTTACAACTGACTAACCTTGCTCCTGCAGGTTTCTCAATCAACTCCTAAGTGTTATTATCATGAAGAGATATCGTCTCGTCATGCATGGCTTTTTTCCATTCAATCTTGTTTCGACTCTACATAACTTCTTTGTAATCTCTAGGTTCTTCCTCAAGTACCTCACTTGCAGAGATTAAGGCAAAATTTATAAGATATGTATAACCAAGTCTCTGAGGTAGCTTGATGACTCTTCTTGACCTATCTATTTCCAGTAGGTAGTCATCGAAAGTTTCCTCAGTCTCTTCAGCATATTGCTTTTCTTCTTCGACTTCATCTGGGTTATGCACTTCAGCATCAATATGCTCCACCTCAACGGGAATCTCTACTTGTTCCAACTTCTTTTCAGAGATTTTTGCACTTCGACCAGTATCACCAGTTTTCTTGAACGTCATCTCGACTTCATTAAAAACTACATCATGACTTGTGATACATCTTCTTTGATCTGGTTCTAGGCACCACATCCTATAATCTTTGACTCCCTCAGGATATCTAAGAAACATGCATCTCAGAGCTCTAGGTTTGACCTTGTCTTGCCTAATGTGAGAATAGACTAAACAACCAAATACTTTCAATTTGTCGAGATCTGGTGGTTGACCCGACCAAACTTCTTCAGGTGTCTTCATTCCCAAGGCATTTGAGGGACATCTATTTATCAGATAAGCTACTGTCAAAACAGCCTCTGCCTAAAACACCTTCTCCAATCCAGCACTAACCAACATGTATCTAACCCTTTCAGAGATTGTTGAGATTGACATCCAAAGAGATAGAAAGTAGTCAAAATTATGCTTATCTCAAGAGGCATACCTATGAAAGATTCTCGAAAAGTTTGGTATGTCGAATTCAAAGTCTGTTGTGACTTCGACAAATCCTCAATTCAAGATAAGTATAGATCAATGTCCTAGTACTGATGTCGAAAAAGCTTATATGAATAGCATTTCATATGCTAATATAGTGGATTCTTTTATGTATGTTATAGTTTGTACTAGACCTAACATAGCCTATGCAGTATGTCTTGTAAGCAGGTACATGGTGAATCCTAGAAAGGCTCACTGGCAAGCATTGAAGTGGTTTCTAAGTTACATAAGTGGGTCTCTGAACAGAGTTCTAATTTATGGTGGAGTCTTGGGTGAAGATAGTAAAGTAGCAATGGAAGGATATGTCGACTCTAATTATGCAGGTTGTAAGGATTCTAGAAAATCTATTTCTTGATATGTGTTCACTATGTTTGACACAACAATTAGTTGGAAAGCAACACTTCAGAAGGTTGTTTCCTTATCAACCACTGAAGTCGAATATATCGCTATAACTGAAGCTGTGAAGGAAGCATTGTGGCTTGAATGTTTTACAAAGGAGTTGAAACTTCAAGGTCGAGTTATCACTGTTAAATGCGATAGTCAATGTGCAATACACCTGCCAAAGAATTCAGCCTATCATAAGCAAACTAGGCACATCGATATGAGGTTGTATTTCGTCAGAGGGGTAATCAAACATGGAGAAGTCCAAGTGCTAAATGTTTTGACAGATCATAATGTTGTTGATATGATCATCGAGACATTGCCCAATTGCAAGTTTTTCCACTGTATGCAGTTGATAAAGCTGCATGATGAAAGCTAGTTTATTCCCTGTTGCCTGTAGAGTTTGATCCAAGGTGGAGATTTGTGAGATATTGGATCGAACTCTAGTGTTTTCGACTTGAATGTGTTGACTGGGATAACTTTCATGAACCGACAGGAGACAAGCATGAAGTCAAAGATTGTTCACATGCTGATGTTGAAATGTTCACATATTGTAGTCGAAGTCAGTTCTAGTATGTAGTGTCAAATTATTATGCCGAATTGGGCCTTGTGTTAAGGATCCAATATTTAAGTTAGCTTGTAATGGATAATTGTTAAAAAGCCCATTAATTTAGTATGTTAGGTTTTATTATAAATAACATACTAGTATTTCATCTTAAGTGTGACAAATCCTAATCAGGGTGAGAGGGTTATTTGTTATTCTTGAGTACTTGTAATATGATTTAAAGAGAAAGTATAGAATAATAGTATATCCTGATAAATGTTTTCGCATGTTTGACTGTTATAGTGGTTCTACTTGATAAAACTATTTAAACTATATATCCTGATAAATGTTCGTTTGTTTTTTCCATTTACAGTGTCCTCGGCAGCGCAATGATATTGACTGTGGATATTTTGTATTGCGCTTTATGAGGGAAATTATTCTTTCTGGTCAACTTGAGATTCCAGTCATGGTATGGATCAATTCATTATATAAGTTATATGATTCATTTTGATAATTATCCGATACTTCATCTGAGTAATTAGTTTTAAAATTAAATCTTGCATGTTCTGTTATATTATGTAGTATTTTGATGAATTCAAGTGCGCTACTTACACGAAAGCAAAATTGGAAGAAATTAAAGAGAAATGGTGTCAATTTATTCTTGGGTTGAGAATTGTATAAAGTTATCGGATTGGAAGAATTGTAATTATATGTAAATTGAATGTATTTGTGATGTTGTAATTCTGAGGATCGAATTTTGTTGTAACATATTTAAGCAGGTTTATGTGTATTAAAATGTTTATGAACAAAGAGATGAGTTACAATGTATCAAAAGTTTTGAATTGTATATATAAGGCCAAAGTTTTGAATTGTATATTTAAGGCCAAAGTTTTGAATTGTATATATAAGGCCAAAGTGTTGAAATAAAGGCCTGAATTATAAGCAGGTTTGTGTAATATAAGCAGGTTGTTGGTAAATATACAAAACAGGGTGAATATTTTTAAAATTTTTTTTTTTTAAATCTGGGACATTAGACAGCGCTTTTACAAAAAAGCGCTGCTAAAGGTCACAAACATTGCGCTACAAAAGCGCTGCTATAGATTTGAAAGGGGGGGTCTACGACAGCGCTGCTAAAGAGGAGGCTATGGCAGCGCTTTGTAAAAGCGCTGCTAAAGGGGGGATGGTTGGGGGAATATGCAGCGCTTATAAAAGCGCTGCTAAAAGTGCTGCTGAAGGGAGCCTTTAGCAGCGTTTTTTTCATAAAAAAAGCGTTGCCTTTACCTTTAGCAGCGCTTTAAAGCGCTGCTAAAGGTCTTTTTTGGCATAGTGAGTTATAGCCAATCCTTGTTGTTCTTCTTCTTGATTTTTTTCGTTAACTCTAACCTTTTTGTGTTTTTTGGTCATAAAAAAATCATTTATACTTTATTTCTAAACATCATTTTTTTTCCAACAAATATAATGTAAAACTATGTGAATAAAAAAAAATTCCTTTCGATTGTGTGAATTGTCTAATAATAATTTCTTTCAATTTGAATTGTCTTAGAACCAAAATCCCTTTTATTATTATATATGGTATGTGCCCTAAAGAGACATAGTAAATGCAAATGGATATGATGAATATAATGTCTTAAAAATATGTAAAAGGAAAATACGAGTGAAAGTGACATCATAATTCTAACAGAGCCATAAACCAAACATAAACCATGATAAAATGTAAGCTTTACTAGAGAGACAACATTAACCCTACTTGTCTCTATATTACTTAACAAACATAATCAAATCATGAATGACCATGGTCATAGGGCAAATGGCTTGTTTTGAATGCAATGCAATAGCAACATGAATGTAATTAAGATAACATAATGCAATGCAATATAAACCTTGATCAGATGGTTCCTGAATTTCAACTAAATCCAGACCTAAAATACAAAAGATGTAAAATAAGTTAAAGAGGGAAATAGATGGTAGGAGAAAATTGGGGTATGACACCTATTATTATCATTTATAATAATATATTTTAAATAATTAAAAAAATTCATGTCAAATAAATATATCCAATTAGATTGTCACGTCTGCAGAACTTAACGGTTTTTGACAAAATTTGACGAAAAATGACCAAATCGACTAACGAAAGTGTTTTTAAAGGACAAGTTTGTAACATTTTTTAAATAAAGGACTGCATTAAGTTAACATACTAAAATATCTATTAAATCTTATAAAATTATTAAAAATAATTTAGATTTACCTAATCTTATGAACAAATATCATTTAAATTTCCTTTCAAGAATCAGTTAGATCAAACATTCATCTATGATTTTGTTTGGGAGTTTGAAAGGAAGAGAAGAGTTTTTTAAAAAAAAAGAATAATTGAGTTAAAATAATAGAAAAAATTAGGTGGAAAGAATTTTTAGGAATTTATTTTTATTCAAAAACCAAAATCCTCCTAATTTAGGAAGCTATTATATTGGAGGAGGAATTAGAGTTTTGTAGGGTTTAGACAAATTACATGAATATATTTGTTATTATATTAATTAAAAATTTAAAAATATGATAATGATAAGTGCTATTTTATTATTTTGTACAAAATCGTTTTTCTAAAATAAATGTTAAGGATTTATCTATGTTTTTCATGGCTAAAATTCTACTAAATATTCACATAAAATACATCAAAATCTAATTTAATAATCAATCTATCAAAATTAAAATATTTTTGAACACCATGATACTTATTTAAATTAAATAAAAGTCTTCATTAAATACCACAATCCTTTCCATCTTATAAGAAAATCTATCAAAATCTCAACAACATTCTTATTTTTCACTATGATTATACATTCTCATTTTCTAACTACGATTACGTATATTGCCAAGTAGACAAATTGCAAAAGCCTATTATTGCTTTAATTGGATTGAAGTTCCATGCAGCTCACGTTACAGTTGGAGGAAAAAAAAACCGACTAAATTCACTGAAATAAATCCCAGGTTGACAAAAAAAAAGCACTTTATGTCAGAAGACTTAAACGGCATGACTAAAGAAACCAAGTTCTGTACTGCACTAAATGTATTACTCCTTTTTAGACAATTTTGATCATAAGGCCTCTACTAGTTCGTAGTGACCATGCCGATGAAATAGCACATTGATAGAAATCTCCTCATCATTTATATATTCTTCACCATATTTTGCTATATTTACCAAATCAAGGGAGCCTGCATCTCTCATGAACACATATATTGGAGTCCTGGTAAGTTATGAAACACAATATTAGATACAAAGCAAATGGATGAACACAAATTCAAAAATTCACAGTTATCAAAAATTTACACTTTAACTGTCATAGTCAAATGTTAATTGAATCTAGAAAATAACAAAAAAGTTAATTCATTAAAACTCACTTCAAAACATGAGAAGCCATTAATAGCTCGGGCTCTCCTCCCCAGACATAACTCTGTTGAATTCTGGTGACATATGCATCAAAATCCCCTTCTATAAACCTATAGACACAGCATGTATAATAATCAGTTAACCATGTAAATAAAAGTAGAATAGAAACCAAATAAGTAATAACTGTTTATCTTCTTTCAAATAACAAAGCTCACCATTCTGTTTCCTTGCGTCTTTTCAACAGTTCTTCAGCAACCTAAAATAAAACATCATAACGTATTACAAAAATCATTGAAGAATATACCAATTGAGTAACCCTAGCAAAATGATCTTACTCTAGCTCTTAATTCATCGGCTAGTTCTCTTTGTCGATTTTCATTGGGTGCTTCCTCTCCCTTTTTTAAGCAAGCTCCATGCGCTATTGCTCTGAACAGACACCTACCATCAGCAAGTACTCCTGTACCATTCAGTAATAGAAATTAACAAATCAATCCATAGGATCCCTAACTGATTATGTAATTACAAACACTCATTAACAAAAACAATAACAAATTAACAAAACTGAGAGCAATTAACTTCGTGGAATTATAGTAGTACATTCAATTAGTGTCAAATATTCAAATTATTAATAGAGTTTATATATTTTTAGGATAATGTTAAATTCTGCCCTAAGATATCAATTATTAACCAAATCAATCATTAAATAAAAATATCTATCTCACCCGAAATTCAAATATTGATTCATCATGTTGAATTTTAGCCCAATCAGTCTGACCCAACTCCCACCCAATGTCTATTAACTTTCTTCCATGATTTTCATGATATCTATATAGGTTTTAAAAAATTGTCCATTACCGCAAAAACGGCTGTGACAAAACGATTTCAGAAGGTATATTGTTATTCATCATTTTTATAGTAAAGAACAGATTGCCCTTAATTTACACCGTGCTGGCCCTATCGCGGTTACAACACCTATACTGGCCCTATCGCGGTTAAAACCAAGATGTTAATCACTAACCAGTGTGACAAACTATCAAACACTTGGTAAGCAAAAAAACTCTTAATTTGCACAATCAACACTACAGTACAAATACAATAGTTGTTGACAGGCTATCGATAGCAACAAAAAATTTGAACCTGAAATTAAAAAAGTTACATTGTTTTACTCTGCTAAACACAACAAAATCAGCACAAATATCATCATCAAGATTCAAGCCAAACACTACCACCACACCAGCCAATTCCTGTACTTTTATGAACATAAAAAATAAATAATCCATTACAGACAAAAAAAAAAAACATCACTTTTATAAAGTAGTAATCATTTTTAAAAGTTTTTTTGTTTTTCTCAAAGTAAAAGCAAAAGCACTGTTCATAATTTTTACAATCCAATCAAACCCTTATTCATAAACAAAAAAAAAAAAGCACAAATTACAAATAAAAAATAATTACGATTTAACAATTTTTCGAAATAAAAAAAAAAAAGAAATGGAAAAAGAACGAACCAGTGACTCTGTAATCAGGGGAAACTTCTTCATTTCGTTCATCTTTATTTCCAAGAACATCGGAACTCTCGCCGGGAGAAATCACTGGCGTCTTCGGTACCTCAGGATCAACGTCAACAATAACCAACGGCGGCGCAAGGCATGCGCAGACACCGAAAAGAAGCCAAGCCGAGTCAGAGCGGTGAAGCCACCTAGCAGGTCGAGCATCCCACGCAACGTTCCACGATCCCTCTCCTCTGAGTTCGTGGTCATGATGAACCATCAAAGCATCGCGTCGGAAGCTTTCTCCGCCGCAAGGCATAATAGCGTGCCATATGGAAGCAGCGCCGCCGGGGATTTGGAGTTTGCAGGCGCTGGAATGGCGGCGACGGGCAACGAAGGTAGCATGGAAAGGCGGAGAAGCGACAGAGGCGTGAGCGAGGCGAGCGATGTGATGAGAAGAGGAGGAGTGAAGGGAGGAAGAGATCCAAGGACGAGAGCGAGTGGCGCAGAGTACACCAAGCATGGATGAGTGAGAAGGTTGGCTAACGTACGCTATGATATTAACCTACGCACCCATAACCGTTTTGCATGAGAATGGAAATGGAATTGACCAATGAGAATAACATAAAAAAGAAGGAAGGAAGCGTAGAGAAGAAAGAGAGACGCGTGGGTGTTATCAGGCCACTCTCTTGGAACCAAACAACGTTCCCTTTTTGGTTTTCGCTATACAATTTTCATTTTTCTTTTTTTCTTTTGTTTGTGAGAAATATTTATTTTGTACCAAAGTTTGTCCTCGTTGGATAATAAGAATATTCCTTCAACGATCCGTGAAGGTTGTAGTTTAAGTTTAAAAAGGATATGCATGTAAAATAATTTTATATTATTAATTTTTTATTGAATAAAACATATAAAGTTTTTTTATATTGTGAATGTATATATCCATTTAACTCTAACATTAATTATTGTATAAAATATTATTGTCCTAGTAAAGTTTGTAACTAAATACCTTGAATTGAATTGTCATGCACTTTTAATAAGTAAAAAAATTTATACCATTAATACAGGGTAATAATTTAAAGATAAATTCTTTGTATCTATAAATTTTAATTCATTCTAAAATAAAATAATATAAAAACATATCACTACATTGAATATCATTCATTGTTTTATTAAATTATAGTATTGATATCTAACTAAATTCAATGATATTGAAATGTTTACCTAACTTAAATATATTATTTTTTAAAAATTAAATCAAACCAAATATTTCAAATAAATTAACAAATATGATTAACAAGTAGTATAAAATATTTTTACTTTATCGTTACATATTAAATTTTAAATTATTTAATTGTTGATAAATTTAATTAATTTGGTATTCCATACTCTACCTTCTTTCTTTTAACAAAAAGTGTTGTAATAATAATACCCTCTTTTAGAATAGATTTTTAAAATAAAATATTTTTTAAATCATTTGCGAACTTTGGATAAATAAGTCTTTTGAAAAAAATAACTAAAAAATAAAAACAAAACAAACTAAATAAATTAAGGTTGGTAAAATAAATTAAATTAAAATATTAAAATTATAAATATATTAACGAGTTTTAAAGGCACTATTTAAAAGATTAAAAAGATAAATAAATAATGAAATGTGTATATTTAATAAATTAAAATTAAAAGAATGAATTTTAAAGAAATATTTTCTTTAATTGAAATTATAAAGATATTAGTTAATTAGATTGCTAACTTGTATCTTTGGGATATATATTCAAAAAATCTATAAATAAAAAATTTATAATAAAAATAATAATAAAATTATTAATATAAATTTATATTAAATTCAAATGTATAATTTTCAATAAATTTTTCTTATATTTATGTTTTACTTTATATTTTTACCTTTTTAGAGCACAAATTAACATTAATAGTTAATTAGTTAGTATCTAACTTCATACATTTGCAATATAAAAAATAAAACTTCATAATTCCAAAAAAAAAAAGGAACTCCATATATTACCCGTTTTCCATGTTTTTTGTGTGGATAAAAGTAAAACTAGTTTTCTTTTTTATCTAAAACATATATTTAAGGGAAAATGAATAACAATGGCAACATCACAATAATCGGATGAAATTAATTATTATACATTATTAGTTTAATTTTTTTTTACAATATAATACATTTTATTATTTATTTATATTATTTTATAAGTGGTTAAAATAAAAGTTAAATTGTTCATAATATTTAATGTTTATTATTAATTGAATGTATAAAATTATTCTAATCTGTCAATGTATTTCAATTAAGTTTATAATTGATTATTTAAGAGCGATTTATTTTATTTTATTTTAAATAAATTTTATAATATTATACATTTTTGCTAAACAAAATTTATTTAAAAAATTAAAATAAAAAAAACATGTTTGAATAGTTAATCTTAAAATATTATTTTAGATATTTCTTCATTTTGCTATAACTTTTTTTATAACAAAATTACTTAAATTTAAAATTGCTTTAAATAGTTTTCCATTAGAATTATTTTGAAATATATATTTTTGAAAATTTTATTTTGACTATGTTTTAATCTTCAATATATATTTATATTATAAAATGTTAAAATTAATTTTTTTATTTATCACAAAAACAAAATTTAAAATTTTATAATATTTTTAAAATATATTTTGAAAAAAAACATTTTGAAAAAAATAAAACAAAGGGACCATTAATCATTTTACACATTGGAATAGTATAATTACAAATATCTATTTACAAAAGAGAGAAAATAATAATTATACTATATTATTTTATCGAATATTTAAGTATTTATCATAAATATAAATATTAATATATTAAATTTAGAATTATATATAATATTTACTCAGTCTCACAAATAATATGAAATTTTAACTATTTCTGCGACAAATGTTAATTATTTTATAAGATAATTTATAAAATCAATTCAAAGAATTGGAACAAGAAATAGAATATTTCTTCTTTCTAATTATAAAATGTTTTTCAAAAATAAAATTGCCTAAAATTAAAAGTTAATTTACAATTTTAATAAAATATTAATACTATATTTTAATGATACTTTTTATTGTTTATTATTTTTTTATTCTTTCAACTTTTTTTAGTTTTTCTTATTAATGAGAGATAATTTTGTAAATTACTTACAATATTTTATTTTTCTTACAAAAATTAACTATATTTTTTAACCGATTTCAAATGACTAAAGTATCATATCTTTGTGATAGGTGGAGTAAATAGTAAATAATATAATAGAAGAAAAATATTTTATTATATTTGTAAAATGATATAATTTAAAAAATATACAAAATAATATATAACTTCAAATAATGATAGAATTATATAAAATTCAGTTGAAAAAAAAACTAAAAAAATATAATTAGTATATGATCTTACCAGGATCATACGTTCAATTAGGGGCCAGCAACACGTCGTGAGCTTCAAATTCGTCGGTGATGAAGAAGAGAAGGGTGTACTTATAAGACACTTCGATGGCAAAGTTAGATTTAGAGTGAGAGAGAAAGAGCAAGTACAGAATAAAGGAGTTTAGAATACATGACCCTCCAGTGGAGGAGGGTATTTATAATGTGCCCTCAATGCTGGGTCAACGATCATCTATTTTGGGCTGAATTGTAAGGTCCATAACATATGACTGCCAGAATCCTATGTGGTAGTAGGGAAGACCAACATGTGGTCTTCGTCCTGGGTCAACTGTCCCACGAACCCTGGGAAATGGATAACCTGTTCTCTAGGACGTGAGTTCAGTTGGTGACGTGTTCCCGCGTGAGGAGCACGTGGAGAATGTGTGGGAAACATGCGGAGAAAGTGGCCTCCAATGGCTATGGAGAATTGGGCCTGTGTTGGGCCCTTCTCGACGTAGAGCTGGACTGAGTTGTGCCCGACGGTGGGCCAACCCCAGGCCCAGTCCAGAACAGTATAGTTTTTTATGAAAAACTTATAATGGGATATATATATATATATATATATATATATATATATATATATATATATATATATATATATATATATATATATATATATATATATATATATATATATATATATATATATATATATATATATATATATATATATATATATATATATATATATATATATATATATATATATATATATATATATATATATATATATATATATATATATATATATATATATATATATATATATATATATATATATATATATATATATATATATATATATATATATATATATATATATATATATATATATATATATATATATATATATATATATATATATATATATATATATATATATATATATATATATATATATTAGTAATGACCAAAACTAGTCAATACAGTATAAGATGTACCGAAAATGTAATAAGGAATCCAAAGTTACAACCCTAAAATCATAATATCATACTATATAACAATTTATAAACAAGTTAAAGGATTTAACTTCTAGAACTAGTAATCATAATAGAAAGTAACATATTTCGACTTTAACAATCAAAGTGTATGAAGCTTTACTCTTTTAGATAACACATGCAACTACTTCGTTTTATTCTAGAAAATATGCCTATTCTGCTTCTTTTTTTCAAATAACTCAAACAACAACAAATTCAATAATGTTAAAAGCCAGTCGACCATTTTTCGAAAAACCACCAAGACCAACAAACTGTATAAAAAAAAAGGTTCAAAACATTTCCTTGAGATATTGTTGAGAACCCTGACCAATTAAAAATAATAGTTCATCCAACCCACCAAAACAAATAACATGTTACAAACAAATTATCCATGTCTTCAGCAACACCATAATTTGTCACACATCTTCGATCGCTCGTGACAAGAATATGCCGCTTAGCCAAATTGTCCTTCTTCGAAATATGTTTTAGTAATTACCTCTAGACAAAAATAAATACCTTAAACGACACAATCTTCAAACATAAAAATTGGGAACTAGCCTTATTGTTGATGACGTCAACTTCAGACATATTTTTATAATAATTGCTAACAGTGTAGCAAGAAGAAAAATGTAAAGTCCACACCCAATGATCTTCTACTTTCACCTGCAAAACAATGGAAGTTAACCGCTCAATACACTCTCCCGATAACTCCTCCTCCCAAGCAAGTAATCTTTTATGCCTCTTCCATGCGTATCTATTCTTCCCCTACCCCAATTCATTCATTTTATGCTACTGTCGCCCTTTCATTCTCCACTAAATTAAACAGCCTAGTAAATCTCATCTTCAAAGGCCTATATTAAGCCAAGGATCTATCTAAAACATAGTTGAATATCCATCTCCTATTCTCCAATCAATATTACCAAGCAACCACCCTCCATCAACCAAACTGACACCCTCCCTTATGTTTTTCAAATTTCTCCACCAAGCAGTTCCACCACTACCCCTAAAACATAATTGCCCCCTTCCTCGCCATACCGAGCATACATAAACCTATACCATATACTTCCCGTCTCATTTAGAATTCTTCTACACCATTTAC